AGGCAGGTAAATTTTCCTCGAGGAATTTTAGTAATCGAGGTACTCGAATCATTCGAGGAATCGTTTCAGCCCTACTCTGAATATCACACCCTTCATCTCAGTACACATACAGTATAACAAAATAGCAACACATCCAAAACAACACCCACAAACATGACACAAGCTGATGTTCCGCATCGGTCATTCTTCTTTATTTAGACCAGAGTTTTATCAGTGAGCTGATATCACAGATAAAAATCAGTGACATCAACTTTTTATTCTTTTTTTTGGTTTGTTATCAATTATTACATTTCAGGGGGCGTGTGGAAGTTGCTGGACTTTTTCCACAACTGGCTGTTTGGAGTCCGTTACTGCTATCTCCACTGGGAAGCTCGTGCCACTGGTGACATACTTTTACTTTGTTGCCAAAACTTATATTCCTGTGCCCAGAAATAACAGTCGTGATCTAATACTGACTCTTGTATGATTCAGTCAGAACAGCAGCTGGTAGATTGCGCCCAGGATTTCAACAACCATGGATGTAATGGGTATGTGCTAGCATGTTTCCATCCACTTTTAATTCTTTCCCTGCATCAGTCATCTCTCTATAATCGAGACCCGTATTTGTCCCCTAGCGGTCTTCCCAGTCAAGCATTTGAGTACATCATGTACAACAAGGGACTGATGACAGAGAAGGATTACCCATACACAGCTGTGGTAATTTTTCAGCCGTTCTAAAAGCTGAATTTTGAAGGTGCCTGTAATGATATGATGTAACGTTTTCTCTTGGGATATTTAAGGAGGGTGTATGTTATTATGAACCATCTATGGCTGCTGCTTTTGTGAAGGAAGTGAGGAACATAACAGCGGTAAGTGACCATCGGCATCATTTTAAAAAGAAGATCTTTATGAAAGTGTAAGAAGAAAAAAGGTTTACTGTTGTTTCTCAGTACGACGAGATGGGAATGGTTGATGCTGTTGCCACTCGCAATCCTGTTAGTTTCGCCTTTGAGGTAACCAGTGACTTCATGCATTACCACCAGGGTGTGTACACCAGGTGAGAGCAAATGTAGACATGGAAGTTGTTAAAACTTAATATGAAAAACATATATCTTTGTGTTTAAGCTATGTATATTGATATTTTTCTGTAATTAGAGTAGATGAAAATGTGTCTTAAATTCTCTTACAAATGAGTAAAACGCAAAGCTAAATTCATACATCTGCTGTTTATAATTTTCCATTCGACTTTCAGTTCTTAGTGCTAAAACACAGGACTTTTATGTTAACAGAAGATATTATAATAGATTCAATTCCTCATTCCCTATAAAATCAGTCATGAGTAAAAAGTCACATGTCACTTTTGGTCTGTTCCTCCTTTCAGCACTAAATGCCACAACACAACAGATAAGGTGAATCATGCTGTGCTAGCTGTTGGCTATGGACAAGACAACGGTACCCCCTACTGGATAGTGAAGAACTCATGGGGACCTTATTGGGGCATAGACGGGTAAACCTCTTTTTTCAGTTACACAGTCCAACAATATCAATGCAGGCCTACAAAAATAACAACATTTTGCCCTCACAGGTACTTCCTTATTGAAATGGGAAAGAATATGTGTGGACTCGCTGCCTGCTCATCTTTTCCAGTGGTGTGATCTTATTACATGACATGTCTCACAAAATTAGGGCACAGTGAGCGATTTTTTTAACCATAGCAATACAATGCTATTCTCTTCATTTGATTGAAGAGTTTTAATCTCTACTAAGCCATTATTATGCAATGGATTGAATTATATTGACATTTATGTGTAATTGTGATAACTGAGCTGATCAAATTGTTGTTTATTCTTTCATACATCAAACTCAAAAATAAAATATTTTAAACTTTTGTGTGTGTTTCTTTAACCAGTTCACTGCAGATGGCAAGAGCTTTCCCAGATATGACAGGGAATTAGTTTTTCAAGACTTAACAGTTTAGATGTTGGTGCAAAATTGAAGACATTGCAGTTAAACATGTAATAATGCCTTTCTTCAAAGAAAGAAAATAAGACAAATCAGTGTACCTCCAATCGACATGAAGATGTTTTATTTCAGTTTAATTGAATCCTGGACCTTGGTGAGATAAACAATGTCAGATCATGAAAAAATTAACTAACTTAAGTCATGATACCAATTGAATCATCCAAGATTTTACACTGGCTAGGCTTTTATCATACTAGTAGATAGCAGTTTGGCATGACCTGTCATGCAGTTTAGAGGGAAAGTGCTTTTTCATGTAGTGTCAAATTGGTTTGAGTAGCTTTTTCCCTGGGTAAAAACATATATAATTTGAAAACTGCTTTTTGTGGATTGCTGTAGAGTCAACTACAAAATGTAAGTGATTGTCTCCTGTCGCTACATGCTCATCCAGGAGGAATGTTGCAAGTCAATCACTCAGTGCTGCCTGCTAGATTTCCTTTGATAGAAAACTTTCTAATCTAATTTGAATAATAAAGTGTAATGCACTGTTGATAATTTGATTAATTGGAATTTATGTGATTGAATTGAAATTAATTATATGTTGTTTTTTTGTTTTTTTTTTCCTGAAATGTGGCTTGATATAACCTGCTGTGAAATAAATGAACTGAGTTGATTTTCTAACTGAGAAACTTCTTTAAACCATCTTTTTATGTAAGCCGGGTGAAATATTTTTACATTTGAACAATCAGTTGACATCACCCCAGACTGGCTTGAAATGTGTGATTTCCAAATTACTGAAAGTCATTTTGATTGTTAAACTTGGCCCTCACATATTACGGGGATATATTGCACATCTAAAGACTACATTTCCCAGAATGCTCTTGCGCGCTCATCTTCAGCCAATGAAGATTCGTTTTATTGGTTCGGCGCAAAATCCAGTATTTTGTTGTCTTCCTGGTCCAAGAGAAGCTCAAAAGTTTGCGCCAGTTGAATGAAGATTTACAAACCAGCGGTTGGAAGAACTAAACGCGCGTGCTCCCGTCTGGTGTCGCGAGCAATGTTTAGAAAACTGAGTGCAGTTTCTTGACCAGAAGTCTTGTAGCCCCTCAGCTAACATAGGTTAGCTCAGCTTCACAACAACAATGTCCAGTCTGCCTCAAAATAATCTGAAGGAACAGCTGGCGAGACACAACAACGCTACTCACAACAAGCTGTCTCTGGCTAAACCTAAAACGGGGTAAGTGCTGTTCCTTTGCAGCAAAACGCGAAAAGAAAAAAACGCTAACAGATTTGAGCTATCAGCAGGGCTAGCTTGTATCATAGCAGTCATTTAACTTCATTTTGTCGGAAAATGCAAGCTTATCCGTTTTAAATTATAGCAAAAGGGTTAGAACTACGTTTTCCCGCTGTAAATTAAAATGTTAAAGTTGAGATCAAGATAACAGTCAAGTTACCAACTTCTGAAGAACTAAATCTGCAGCTTCTACCAAAGCAATTACAAATTTTATGTATATGTGATTTAAAAATGTCTACAAGGAATTAAAAAATCAGCAGTCCCATAAAGGCGACAAAATAAACCCTTAAAGCATATTAATTATCAGTAGGTCTGAAAATAGAAATTGAAAGTATTGAACACAAAGAAAAGCTGCATGAGAAACATACCTAAAACGAAGAAGGTAATTGTCTTTATAGTTTTCAGTTGTTAAAGCTTGATAAAAAAAAAAATACACAATATATTCCCCCTGTATCTGTATCTGCTTTTTGAATTTATTATATGTTTGCACTTTCAGGGCTTTCTCGTTCAAAAAGAAATCTTCATCGGGTACAACTAAAGTGGAGTACCCAACAAAGGTAAACAGCCCAAACATTTTGGCAAACAGGAACGTGAATGTGCTGGGGAACAGTTTGGTGACTAAATCTTCTTTAACATTTTCAAACAAGCTTGAAAGAACTCAGAAATCCAAAATCAACAACTTCTTCTCTCCAAGTACAAATTCCAAGTCCAATTTCAGCCTAGCAGGTATCTCCACTTCAACATGTGAGGAGCCCCCAGCAGATACTGGCGGTAAGGTGATTGCTGCTCCTGCTAAACCCAACAACCAGTCCTCCTGTGGTGGGAAAGGAATCGGCTCCGCAGGATTAGATTTATCTGATTTACCTGTTGACGACTGGGATGATTTTGAAGACTTTGAAACACCTGCCAAAACAAAAAACGACTCCCTCTGCTCAGAGAAATCAGCGCGGGTCACCGAGACAGTGTCATCCTCAGATGAAGAATTTCCAGAGTTCACTGGAAAACAAAGCCATGATTCTGGTCATTTAAAATCGGAGTTAAGCGAGAAGAACAGAGAACAATCTTGCATGGAGAAAGAAGAGCCGGAATCCAGAATTGGTAAGACAACAGTCTCATTAGAACCTAGTTTAGTTGACGGACTTCCAGACGATGAAGTGGAAGATACTCCTGTTAAAAGGACCAGAAGGCGCTGTCCTCCTCCACATGTCACATCTGTGTTGAGTGATAGCGATGAGGAGATCGGCACCATATCTGAACCTTCAAAGGATAAAACAGGTAAGTGGCATTCTGATTTATAATGTTCAGATATGGAGAGCCGATATAGTCTTGATAAGAACTAAAATACAACGGGTCACAGTGAGATGTTTCTTGTGCTTCTCAGATGAAAAGGGAAAATGGATTGATCCCAAAGTGATCAACCTAAACGACAACTCTGAACCTGAGGAAGATGTGGATTACATTCCTCCTTCACCTCCTCCTGATGAGACTTTTTATAGGCCTTCTTCAGCAGAGACAAGGTGGGCAAATATCATGTCACACCGCTATTGAAATGGAGTTCCCACTATAAAATTTGATTGGAAGATTCCCAGGTTTGGATAAGTAAAGATAAATATTCCTGTCCATTCTTTATTTTATTTTCTTGTCCCCCAATATGTTCACCTGTTCATTTGATCATCCTTTCATATATTTACCAGTGTGTTTGTGAATCAATTTATTGATCTACTGATCTATGTGTTCATCCACCCTCACATACAGGGGATTGAGAATAGAGTTCATTTTAATATGATAAAGTAGTTAATTTTGACAACAAAAACGTGTAGGAGCGCCGTTGCAGTTCATAATCTGATTGATTGTATTTATGCAAAAAGTTTTTCTTCTGCTCTATTAAACACTGAACAAAAATCTTGTAAGCTGCTTCAGTTTTTAAATGCTTCTTAGTTTTGAATACACTTTGTGGAGGAAAACAGAAAATAGTCATTTAAATCTCTTTAATAATTATTGTTTTAGAGAATATTCCTAGGCATTTCATCGAGATTCATTTGTTGACTTTCTTAAACTCTGTTATTGAATCCATTCCTCTGCATGTGGAACTGATCTGAGGTCTCATAAAAGTCAGTAAAATGTTTTTTTTTTTCTTGTTTTCATAGAAGAACTCACTCAGACATTGTACAGAGCAGAGACAAACTTTTCCAGTCAAACAGCCCTGCCACAACTCTGCTTGAACCTTCTAATCACCTCTCCAGTGACAAAACAAGTGAGTTTGATTTACTTGCTTTTCTGTTTCTTTTTAAAGTTTTTGTACTCAGTTTTACCTCTTTCATTCCTGCAGAGGAACAACTCTTCAGCATTATGGAGTCCATCTGTACTCTGGTCGATTCCATCCCCGAACATGAACTGATCGCTTTGACCTGTGGAAATGAACTTTTGCTGAAGAGGGCCCACAGGTTTGTTCACTTATACTCAGCAGGAGATGTGCTAATGTCTTATTTGGTTGAATCTAAGAGTGACTGCAGTCATTCCCTTTTTCTTACAGGAAGAGGATTCTTGCTTGTGGGGTTGATTCTTTGCGCATGCCGCAGCCAGACAGCACAGTGATTTCTGACACCAGCTACAAAGAAACTTTTTCCAGTTATAGTGCATCTAGTCTGACGTCCCCCAGCAGTTCCCTCTTTTTGGACACTAAGAAACCTCTGAATTCCCAAAGATCGTCAGTAATCTCTGTGGACTGTGACTCTGACTACTTAGACAGTGCCAGTTCAAAGCCCTGGAATAAGAGTGAAATCAGTATTTGCGACTCTCTGTCAGCCCAAAGCTTCACAAAACCACATTTTAGTCTCTCAGAGAAAACAAACTCCGATGTTAATGATACTGATCATTTCTCCGCCAAGAAATCGGAGCAACTCAAATCCAAAACGCCAACACATGCAATTACCACAGACTTTGAAGACGACGACTTTGATGTTGACGATTTTGATATAGATGACTTTAATGATTCTGACATCCCTGATTACTTTGATGAACCTCCGACTTCGTCTACGTGGAGTGAAAACCCAAACACTACATGTGCTGCTGTGACAAAAGGAGGACCAAACAAGGCGTCATGGGACAAGACACCATTGACTCCTGTTTCTGCTCCAAAACCTCAGAAGATTTATTCACCAGGCAAGGCAAAATGCAACCAGTATTTCAAGTGAAATATATGAATATCTTCACTTGGAAAAACAAATTTCTTTCTTTCCCAAAAATATTAAAATTAGTACTTTTACATTTGGTCACTAGATGGCAGTAAGTTACACTGGAGAAGTACTTTTATCAGCCTCTGAACAAACTGTAATATATCTTGTTGCACTAATCCAATATTATATAATCTTTATTTTTTTACAGGACACAGCATATGTTCTTATTTAACATCTTTCTCATAATTTTTAGAGCCCAACTTCAAAAACCCAGCTCACGATCGCTTCCGAGGCTTTAACTTCCCTCATTCGCAGGAGATGATGAAGATTTTTCATAAACGTTTTGGACTCCATCAGTTCAGATTTAATCAGCTGGAAGCGATTAATGCCGCTTTGCTGGGAGAAGATGCATTTGTTTTGATGCCAACAGGTTGGTTTGAGCAGACTTCTGCTATATTT